ATAAATTATTTTTTTAAATATAAAAAATAAACTGCTTAAAAAAACCAAAATTAAAACCATTATTATTAAATCTTTAGTTATTAACTATTAATTAATAGCTTAATAAATTTATATTTTTTTTATAAATAGTTTAAGTTACTTTTCTTTATTTTATTTATTCTTAAAGCTTTAATATACCTTTTCTATTATATTAATTATATTTTTACTAAAAGTTTTTATTATAGTAGCTATTATTTTTATTATAGTTATAAATAGTTTTTTATTACTTTTAACTATTTTAGCTATTTATAATTTTTAATTAATCGTTAAATTATTTTTAATTACTATAAAAATTCTTTACTTTTATATTATATTATTTTATTAAGTTTTTTAAAAAAAAATATATAATTTATTTTTAAAAATTATTACTGTTTTTTATTACTTAATAAATAATATAATAGCCTTTTTACTTTAGTTAAATTATTAAACTATAATTTAAAGTTTTTATATTATATTTAAATTTTATTTTTTAGACTTTTTTATATATATATTTTAAGTTTAATTTTAAACCTTAATAAGTAATTATACTTTTTATATTTTTATTAATAATATAGTTTAAATTTTTAAAGTTTAGTTTAATTAACTATTATTAATTAAATTAAGCTATAAATTAATTTTAGATTTTAAACTAAAGGCTAGGGTATAACCTTTTATTAAACTAACTATTACAGTAGTAAACCTTTTATTTTAATATTAAATTTAACCTTTATAATAAATTATAAATTTATAATTTAATATAAATTAAAATTATTAAAAAATAAATTTAAATTTTAATTTATATTAAAAAATAAATTAAAATAAATATTTTAAAAATATAAATTAATATATAATTAATAAAAAACATTAAGTAAATTTAATTTAAATATTATATTTATAATTAATTATTTATATTATAGTTAATTAAATATATTATAGTTAATTAATTAATTAAATATATTATATAATTAACTTTTATATATTTATATTTAGTTAGTTTTAGTTAATAAGTAATTTATATTAACTTTAATTTAATAAATTATTTAATTTTTTTTTCAAGTATATATTTTCTATTATAATATTAAAATATTAAATTATAATATTTATATTAATTTTATTATATATTAACAAAATCAACGTTAATTTTTATTAATTTAATATTAATTAGTATATTAATCCTATTATTATTTAAAAGCGCTTACTCTATAAGCTTGTTATCACAATTATAAAACCTAAGTCATAATACTATAAAAGTTAGTTTATAATATATATTGATTTACAGTTTGTTATACTATTGTAAATAGCTTCTATAAGTAAAACAAATTATCATTTTATATTTGGAAAGCAGTAACTTTTATAAAGTTCGTATATAAAACGAATTATTTTATATGTCTTCCTTTACATCTGCTTAACTTTACAACCATAACTGTCTTTGACCTAAAAAATCTGCTAAGGCCGACGTAGAGAAAAGTATATGCATGCTATGAAGGGGAAGGAGAATGTAACTAAGCGATACCTAACGATATGATACAACAGTTTTGGCTGTGAACTGCCAGTGATGATATATTACTATTTCATTTACAACTTGGTTGAGCCAGGTGTTCAATCTAACCAGAACTAACTAAATGTTTTACAGAGAGGTTTTAGTATGATTGCCCAGAAGACAGGTTCACAAATGTCGGTCTCACGGCTATAAAGATGAGATTTCAGGAGCTCAGAGTTACCACAAATCGCTTTTGCAGCCCACATAACTCAATAGTGACCTCGACCCGTCTCTTCACTACCTCCAATTTCATCTTCTCATCTCCAAGTAAGAATTAAGATCCCTAGTATACAATGTCGACTACACAAATGCTAGTCTTACCAGTGCTTTTCGTGGACTGTATTCAAGTCTAACAAATTAGCAAGATCATTACGTGAAGCACGACAATATTCACAAGAAAAGGGATAGACTGATTAAGACCAACCAAAGGACCCTCCGTTGAACAGCAACAAAAAATATTCTTGAGTAGGTGTGAGATCGACATAATTAATTTTGAGGGTGACAACTATCAGACGCAGTTATCCCTGTCCAGTCCCAAGTTCCTCATGCACCGTCATGTCATAGCATGCGCGGCCCTTTCGTGAAGATGTGCAGGTCGGCAATAACACGGCAAAATGTTGCCCTTTTAAAAGCCTTCCCATGTCGATGCGCTGCGGCATAAAGCCATGGTTAGTAGTTTTCTCCTGGTAATGGGTTTTACTATATGTAGAGAGGGAGGGCAATGGCCCTGATTCTTCACGTTCTGCTACTAATAGATGCTGGCACTGATGAACGAGATTGTCATCTAAGTCGCAAACTTTACTGACATAGCCGCTGGCAGGAAGCGTTTTAATAGACCTAGTCAAATCGAGCGACAATACAGTGGAAGGGTAAAAGTGCCATCCATCCCACTGTATATATAAAATGCTCTATTTTGCAGTCGTATCAAGGTTCCATCTGACCGAAACAAATCTCTATTGCTGTGGCTAGATGAAGCTATCTATCTAGGGAAAAGAGAAAGAACAACTTGAAAGACATCCTGTCGTGTCTACTTGGATTGACCAGTCGGCTCAGCTCCCAGCTGGGCCGCGAGCCCACCAGCCGCAAACGCACCCATGGCCAACGCGTTAACGACGGCTGGCATTGAGCTTGCGCAATCGCCGACAGCAAACACACCATTAACGGAAGTCTCGTAGAATGGCAGGTTGGTCTTGATGGCACCCGTCTCAGTCATCTCCAACGAGAGCTGTTTCGCAAACGGGCCGTTGACCTCGGTCTTTGGCTTGTGGACCTATAAACGAGGTTAGGCCCCGCGAGGCGGGAAGACGAAAAAAGAGCGGGATAGCAATGGATACACTTACGAGAAAACCTTGCGAGACGCTACTTCCATCGTCAAAATACACAATCGTTTCAGAACGGTCCTCGTCGACTTTTTCGAGCCGGACCACGCGGCGGTTATCAAACGTGATGACGGGGTCGCTGCCAAGCGCGGCGACGATTTGGTCCATGAGTTCGGTTGCGCCATTGGTGTAGATGACAACTTTCTCCGCGAGGCGCTTAGCCATACGCGCCAGATTCAAGGCGGGGGACACATTGGCAACATCGCCAATGGCCAGGACACCAGCCGACGACGCGCCCCGATCTTCGTATCCATCGCAAAACAAGCAGTGGTACCTGGTTGGTTCATTCGCTGTTAGTCCAGCTCTCCTCTCGCCGTCTCCCTTTGCACGGGTGCCCTATACTTACACTCCCCGGCCCCAAGCTTCGGCGTATCCTGGGATGTCGGGGAAGATATCCCGCATGCCAGACGCTAGGACGATCTTCTTGCCAGCCCAAACAGTGCCGTTGATATCCTTGGCCTCGAAGCGGCCGTCGTCCCTGCGGCGAACCGACTCGATCGTGGTCTTCTCGAACTTGATGGTATCATAGCGAGCGAGGACGTCGGAGCGCGCCTTGGCCCGGAAGTCGGCGGGGTCGCGGTGATCCCAAGTAGGAACGTTGTGCATATGTTTGGTCGGGGCATTGCGGTAGACACCCGAGTCGAAGACGACGGCGGTATAGAGCTGACGCGCGAGGCCGGTCGCGGCAGCAAGGCCGCCTGGGCCGCCGCCTATGATGAGGACGTCGAGCAAAGCCATTGTTGTGCCGGAGTCGCACGAGGCAGAATCGGTCGAGTTGGTGCAGGCCGTGGCCTGAGCCAGGAGAGGAAGGAATGGGATGATATAGAGGGGGAGACGCATGACTGAATGTGGTGACTAATGCCGGGCTTTACGTTAGTCAAGTTAGTTGGGAATCAATTGCTTTTAAGGTGGTGTGGGACAGGCGGCCAACACCTTAACTGACTCGAGGCACCCGGGCCGAATGAATATCACTAGCCCGGAAACGTGTTAGAGAAAGAGAGGATTTACCTCCACTGACATGGCCTCGCCCCATGATTTAGCAGGGAAGTTCCGATGACGTGAGCTTCTAGCACCTTGATTGGTTGTTCGATCCTGCCGCCCCACAGTGTCAGCTTATAATTGCTCAAAACCACTCGTTTCCAATCTTATTTTTTTTTTTATAATCCATAAGCTACAGATTTTAATTATTATAAATTTTAACTTTAAGTTAAAACCTATAAGTTGTAAAAAATTTATAAATATTTAATATAATATAGCTTATATTATTATTAATAATATATATAATTAATAAATATTTATAAATTCAAATTTAATAAAAAAAAATTAAATTTAAGTATAATATATTATCTTTTTATTTTAGTTAAAATAATATATAATTAAATAAATAAATATAATTTTAAATTTAAAAGCTAATATATAATATAATATAATATAATATAATATAATATATATATATATTTGTATTATAAATAAAAGTTTTTTATTAAATATAATTTACAGTTAATTAAGTTATAATATAATAGACTTATATTAATTAAGTAACTTAATTTAGCATTTAATTAAAAATTTCTTATACTAAAGGCACTTAACTCAAAGCGTTAGACCCCGCTTACGGAATCAAAACATCTGGTCCAGTCTGATGCTATAATAGTCCAAACTGTTAGCCCTTCTCAGTCTGAGAATCATATCAATTACTGTGATGCCTTTGCCCACACTGCCATCCTGCCGTCCACTTTACTCTCTCTAATCTGTTCTATCGTGTCGACGCACGCCTTTCTCGCGAGTTCCGGATAGTCCCTCTCAATCTCCTTAGCCTTGTCACTTCCTGGTTGCACACCAGCCAGCTTCAGCTCGTAAATCACCGTAAAGCTGACATCCGTCGAGTCTGGTGAAACGACCGCATTCGGCTGGTACGAGACGAGGAAGGTCGTCTTTGCGCCTGTGTCCAGCGTTGTGGCCGCGACCTATCTCACGCAAGGTGGCAATTCAGCAGGCAGTCTGACATCAAGCGATCAGCAATGGGAAAGTAGTCACGCACATGCAGTTTATCCGCGATGGAAACCTCTTGATACAATACCTGGCTGTTTACCGTATGGACTCCGCCATCGCCCAGAGTGACGGCTCGCCCCAGCCTCTGCTTGTTCTTGGTCTCCCACAGCACGTCGCACTTGGCGACGTAGGGGGCGAACTCCTGAGGCGTTCGCGCCACATGAGCAACGCCCAGCCATAGATCCGCCGATGTAAGCTTAGTTTCATCGGTCGGCTTGTTGGCAGGCGCGGTGAACGAGATGTTGTAGGTGAAAGTAATGTTAGAATCCATGATGCGTGAGTGAGATGGCGCTTTCGAGCTTGGTGTGGGACAGGATGTGTTGGTTAATCAGAAGTATACCCCTCTTGCAACGCGTATCCTCTTTCTCTATCTTTTAGACGATTCTTTGTTGCTTTTCTTTTTGTATTCTGTCTTGGTTTTTAGGCTTGGTACCTCTGCGGGGTCGACGTGCTTGTCAAAGGCGGGGTTGGACAAAGAGAGACACGGCTGCCGAACTCGGTATGCGCAATCTGGACACCCGGATCCACGACGTGCTTCGGCGCAGACGCCGGCCTCCGCGGTGTCTTTTAACATGCGGCGGCCGGAGCCCGTTTAGAATATAGAACGCCGATAGTGCCGCAAGCTCAGCCTAAGTAGCTCAAACTGTTGAATTGCACTACTGTATGTTGGAACACGAAGNCGGGGTAGGCTAGGAACGCTAAAAGTTGCAGAGTACGGAGTACTCAAGCTACCCTACTACTTTAATTAAGCAGCCAGGGTTAAAGTGTGCTGGGTTTCTTCATCTACTCTCCGGGAAGAGATACTGACAACCGGCCATCAATGCTTTATCGTACCACCAAGAAGGTGATCTGAAAGCTGACACCGCACGGACGGAGTCCAAGTCCGAGACTAGGAACACACTCATCAATCGAAGCACTGGGACAACACGCCCAAACGCAGTTTACATGTAGTCATCCATACCCCAGGAAAGAGATTACCCAATTAGGAGACGCCGAGTTCTCCGCTCTGGTGGCTTTCCGTCTGAGAGCTTGCGGCGCTAAGCCTGCCTGGTGTTGGCTTGTCGGGACTGTCAGACAGGATCCCCTACGGGCCGCATTAGGTTGTTAGATGGTATGATTATTTGTCAGCGGGTAACAGGGAAGAGATCGCCTCTGCACGGCTGGCGCACTAGCATGAAAGTCGCCGGCGCCGCGTGCAGAAAATGGCTTTCGGAGACTTTTACGAGGAGGCGTTGCGAAATCTGTTGGAATTACAGCTGCTGCCTTTAAAGCCGGATAAATCTCCTCCACTGAAATTAACCGGAATTTGAACTGTTCAACACGCGTTGTTGGTTTTGTTTACATACAAATGGTATACAGTAGGGGAGGCCAGTGTGCGTTGATTTATAGGGCGTTTCAGGGATTTGCGTGCCTGGAGATCCCACAGATAGACTAACGGGGATATAAGATAGTAAGCTTACTTTGCATCCTGTAGGATTTACAATTGTTACGATCTGGTCCGCTGTAACAGTTAGATCCCTTATAAGCAGCTGGTTCCGTTATAATAATTACTACAATTGCAATTATTGGCTTAATCTTTTGCCCTGTTGGCGCTATGGTATAACGGAACGTAACAACAATAAAATAAATTTACTTAATTATGTTACAGTAGGTGTTTTAGAATTAATATAAATGTTTTAGTATATATAAAGTAATATTAAAATGTAAAATTAACTTAATAAAAATAATAAAAATAATATAGTTTTATAGTTAATTATTACTTAATTTATAATAATAATAAAAAAACTTAAGGAAATTATTAAAAAATAATAAAAAATTATTGATAATTATAAAAATAAAAACTTTATTAAAGTAAAATAAAAATAAAAAATTATAAAATTAAAAATTTTAAATTTTTTAAATTTTTTTTTAAAAATTATAAAAAATTTCTTATAATAGTTTATATTTATTTTAAATATTATTAAAAAACTTTAAGTAAATTAAAAAAAACTTAAAAATTAATTTATTATTTTTTTTAAAATTATTAATAAAAAAAAACCTAAAAAAAAATTTATTAATATTAAAAAAAAAATTTAAAATATATTATTATATTTATATAATTTTTAAATAAAATTAAATAAATAAATATATATATATATATATATATTATTAAAACTTTAAATTAAAAATTAAAAATAAATTAAATTTAAAAAATTAATTTAAAATATTTACTAAATATATTTAAATAGTAATTAAAAATAAAAATTAATATTATAAAAAATATTAAAAACAAAATATATATATATATTATTAAT